AGTATATAGCCGAGTCTGTGTAGCTGACACCTGTAAGTACTGTATATAGCTGTGTCTATGTAGCCGACACCTATAAGTACTGTAAATAGCTGTGTCTGTGTAGCTGCACACCAGGCCTATTATACCTGGGGCATATACTGACACACCTCATACTATAGTCCTAGATTGTACAGCTGTACCTCACATATTATATACCTAGGCTATATACTGTACAATATACCTTACAGTTTACTGCCATCTCCATATCCGGGTTCTTGAGACCCCGTAGGGTCTAGTAAAGTGGTTTGTGACAGATCCTGTATTGACGCTCACTTGGACCTGGATTCGAGGCTACAGATCCGCCTGTGAGGGACTGAGAGCACCAGAGCCTCTGACGTTCTGTTTCTGGCTCTTGTTTGTGCCTTGGCTGTGACAGCGGAAGCACAGGAGGAAATTACCCCCCACCCCCACCAGCGGTCACAGATCGGGCAGTGATTAGATTCCAGCAGCTCTCGGGTACCGCTGACGCAGAGACAGGCGCTGGGAAAGGACAGAGACATGAGTCTGCTGTAAACCAGCGAGCTTGCTCGAGAGTCACAACAGCCTGAGAGACACAGTTAAAAATCTGTCAAAATCAGGTTTGATGTTTTGAAGAATGTGCATCTGAAACTGTAGCTAGAGGTCCTTACAGGACATACAGCATGAACTACTGCGTAACTTTTATTAGCTCTGATGTTCAAAGGATTAATTTCTGAAAAGGGACTAAAACATCATTGTCTCTCGCAGACCAAGCTGCTCCAGTGGGTCAAAGGTCAAAGGGCCCTGAGGGAGGGGTCAAGGTGAGTCACTGTGCCTCCTATCTCTACTCCTGACTTGACAGAATCTCCCTAGAAACTACAATGTGATTTGCCAGCACGTTCTACATTTCCCACAATGCTCTCTTCTCCCCGCCCCGCAGGCGATGATCATCCGCCGGCTCCGGCCGGGCCACGTGCGGAAGAGCTCCACGCAGCTGAACAGACAGGACGGCCACTGGTACACGAGCCGCCCGCGCGCTTCGGCGATATAGCGCCTTGCCGCTCAAGAGAAGCACAAGGCCACTGCTTCCTGGAGGGGAGTTGCCCCCCAGCGCTCGAACTGGAAGTGGGGGGGAATCTGGGTGGAGCGGGGTCCCCCTGAGACAGATAGAGGTGTATTCTCCCTCCCTCAACATGTACTCTCTTCAAAACACTCTCCCCATGGATCCTTGTCCCCTGCTTCTCCCCCAAGGCTTCAACCTCCACCCTGTATTCAGCATATCTGGGGTGCAGGGGTACCCCTTGGCACAGGTGTCCAGAACCCGCTCGCCTGCTCACCAGCTCTCTGTCGTCTCCGTCTCTCTCTCCAGCCGGACCAGTCTGCACGACTCCCGGGAGTCGCTGGCCATCCCGGTCAGTGCAGCGGACAGCCTGGACCTCAGCAGTGACCAGACCACAGTGGTGCGGCCCGTCCACAGCTCCATCCTGGGGGAGAAGTACTGCTTTGAGGTGGGCACTGAGCCCACACCTGCCCCAGCTCCGACACCCAGACCTGACCCTGAACCCCTG